ATACCGGTACATCATGTTGAACTCATTTAAAATATTGTATTTAAAAGCCCAAATTGAAACCCCATCTCTCATTCTGCCTCTTGCCTATGGCCGGGGATTACTGATCCATAGAAATACGGCGCCTGAAATAAATTTATTCTCTGAGAACTTGAGAGATATTAAAAATAACATCGCTACTGGACCTTCTGGAATATTTGCGACGATTCGACCACCTGTGAATATTACTAGCGCCGTCGACGCGACAACGATAATAAGAAATGCACAAGATACGCTCTGTTACGCCCCAGCGTCACCCCACAGCACAAAAACGTATGGCGTACACGCTTGGCATGTATAATATCTACGGCGCGCGGAGTGGATATATGTTTATGCGCCGCAAACACCCACGCACTAATCAATGATGCCGTGTGCATCAACATAGCGCAGGGCTGAGGGAGAGACAGGGCCCAGAGGAAACTAGTTCTTGTTTGTCGGCGCGGGAGAGAGACGAAGATCGCTGAGCAGGGAAATGAGTTTTTTATAGCGCGCTGTGGTCTTTCCGCAGTCGGCCTGTTTTTGGGTGTTTTTTTTTTGCAAAATGGATGACTGCTATAACAGAAAAGTAGGATCTGCAAACATGGTTGTATATAACAAAAGAATTTTTGAAATGAAAATTCTGTCCTCAAAAGCGAAGGAAGAGGCTGGGGTTTTGGGGGTTATTTTGGCGGCACATGTAAAAGGTAATGTACATTTGCTTTTGCTGTAATTTTCAGAAATGCATCGATTTGAGGGTTAGTATTTTATAGCAAATGTTGTTACACTGACATGTTTTGTGTTCATGAAAAACCAAGGAAAAATATGCTGATCTTGTAGTCTGGTTCCCTGACCCTACTTGAGACGAAACAGACCTTTTTATAGACATCAGGGGAATTGCCAGGTCAGGGAGCCAGACTGGCTGGCTTGCACCCGTTCACGAATGTGCAACCGATTGCAAACAAAATGTGGGCTTGAACTAAATTTGGTAATTGGGGGCAGTATTTCAAAAAAGTTAGTTTTTTCCAACAATGGTCAGCTGACCATCATTGGAAATCGAGGTATACACAAAGTCGGCTTTTCTTGAAAAATGATAGCACACCAGGTGCCATGATTTCACAGGATGCTTGAGACTATTATTCACTTACAATCAAGTAAGGTTTTTCATAATAATTTGTGATGCGATCAAGTTACATGAGTCATTTGTCAGGAATTTTCATTTGGAGATACAGGCCAAAATAGGACCACTTCATCACATCACCTTATCACATTTCTTGGTGTTCCGACTTCCATATTTTTGTTAACTAAAGATGGTATCAGGATGCGGTTTTCACAGCAGTAATGCTGAGATTGTGCTCTTTTCAAAGATGTAAAAAGCCAAATTTTGACAAACGACTCATTTAGCTTGATCGCATAACATTTGGTAGATTTGTTTTTTGATGTTTGCAAATGTTGCATATTTTAGGTTTGTGCAATTGTCGAATACAGTATAACAAGCAAACATGCAAGCATGCAAGCAGGCAAGCAAGAAAATAAACAGGGGAGTGAAAATCAAGCAATCAGAGAGCAAATTTCTGGAGCAGATATCAATGCAGTCAAGCAAAAACGGGGAAAAAGGATTAAAGGCATCTATCATTTGCTTTTAATGCATTTTGTGCATTTCCACTAAAAATACTGGTCAAAATCCAACAAAGAATGTTCAAACTAAACCTGCTGAACTTTCAGCTCAGTGGATATTATACTTTTCGAGAGAACAGTGAAAATTCATGCATAATATTTCGATCACGAAACCCAACAATTGTATTTTATCCATAGCGCTCTTTATTTCCAAAAATCAGTCAACTGACTGATCGTTGGAAATCACCTACAGTGTACATTGTACATTTCTTGATTTCTTCTAAATGACAGCAAGCCAGACGGAATAATTTCACAAGGTGTTTAGTACCAGTATGATCTTTAATCCAAGTAAGCTGTTTGATAATAATTCGGTAGGTTACTTTTGGGATACCTGAGTGAGCTTAATGCAAATGAAGTGTCTTTAACATGCATTATTCTTGTAGCTTGTACTGTATGACGCAAAGAGGTACATGTACATTGTACCAGTATGGCATTATGCTATGGTCATTTGGTATATGGGAACTGAGATTTAGAAGTATTTACTGTATATCAGGAAAAATAATTTGTGGTAGTTTGGAAAAGGGGGTAAGAATGGGTAGGGTATGTGCAGTATGCAGGCAGGCAGACACGTACGGTAAGTACACATGTAGGCGTGCTGAAGCAGACCTGTATCAACATGATGCAAACAAAAGCAGTGTAAACAACACTGACAAACAGACAAACAGACAAACCAACAGTCAAACACTTACTTCCGGGACAATAGTCTTTGAGGGTAAGAACACCTGTTTACAATACAATCACATTACATGTACATGAAACCGGTGTGAAAATAAAAATCGCCATATGTTCAAATGCCGACTGTGGAGTTACATACAACAAGGAAAACATCAGCTGTGCATATTTATACAATGTCAGTACGTGAATAGGTAAAAGTACTGTAAACTACATGTACCCAGTACAGTATTTAAGATCAGGGCCCAATTTCATGGCTCTGCTAACCACAGAATTCCGTGCTTACGATCACCATTTTGTGCTAACCGCGCTAGCAGAAATTTTTTGCTAACCCTGTCAGCACAGAACCCTTTAGTTACGGGATGTACATGTATGCATGTAAGTAATACATACATGTACATGTACAAAAGCAACATTAAATTTAACCCATCCGTACGAATTGTAAACACCGATTTTCTACAGTAAGTGAGGAGTTCAAAAATTGCTAACGGTATTAAGCGGAGCCATGAAATTGGGTCCAGATTGCAGCAAAAGCAAACTCCAAAATTTTTATCAGAAAGTATTTTTACTGACTAAAAACACTATGAAACTATGGGTCATTCTATAAATTTGATCCACTTTTTTCCCCTGTCACTGTTTGGCCAAAAAAAAACGTCTTCGGTTTCTGGTATGGAGCTTGCCCAAAAAGTGGTGCGGCGACGTGGCTTTTTTTTTTTTTTAACCTGATTTTTTTGCTTCAAATGTCGGCTGATGACTGCAAATGGTGCCCGACTAAACTAAGTGCAAATATGGGACCCAAAATTTATATAATTATGTACTGTGCGGTTCTGTTAAATTCTAGTGCTAAGAATTCCTAGCGAATGACTATGGAGGCACGGTGGGTTGGCAATGGCTGGGGTGGGCACCCAACCAACCCAGGCTAATGGGTCGAAAATGGAATCTGTAGGGGTGCAAGCGGCAAAAATTACAACCATCTGGGAAGCTCATGAAATTACATGTATCGGCCTATCGGTACTTGACATTTAAAAAATATGACAACTATCAGGTATGGAATTTGTTTTCTAGAAAAGGGAGCATGTTATTTTTTTTTTCGCATGTAAAAGACAATGCTAAAAGATTTACTGTCTAGAGCTGCACTTCAACAAATTCAATTGTTCTTTCTTCTTATGATTATCCCCCCCCCCCCCTCCCCCTTGCAGGTAGACTGGTTCCTACATGTAGTTCCTACAGTACTGGTACTGATATGGTGGCGGGAATCAGTCTACCCTGCGAGAACTGAATTATTGTCTGGCCTCAAATTATTTGAAATTCTGTATCTATTTTATTTAAATACCAGCCATTATTTGTTTGTAATCTCATTCAAAAGTGAATAAATTTTGTATTGCAAGAAAGTTACCAATATTAAATAAGAATTTGAAAAAATGAAATTAATTTTTTGAGGTGAAACAAAAATCGCATGAGCAGTACACCTTTAAAATCAGAATGGATACAGGAACATCAGGCTAAGTATAAAGCAAGGCCATGGCCTTTGAGAAATTCCAGGGTAAAGTCATTAAATACACGCACGAATACTTAGGCATGTATAATAGTGAATATGAACCTATGTTCGGTGCTCATACATGTACGGTATCGTCCGCTTTTCCTACGCCCCCATAATCAATCAGCGAGAGCGCTGAAACAAAAAACAAAAAAAACCCTACAAGTTGCCTTCAGCTGGGCTTAAATCAATTAGAAATTACGCTAATCCGGCGTGGGCGGCCTGATACAGCTGTAAAGGATTTTTTTTCCACGTCAAGAGCCATGGACGGTGGAGCGGCAAAGACAGAAGACGATGACGGGGTGGGGGAATTAATTCGTGGGATAATCAATGGCCATGAATCAATGGATGGGATGCAAAAGAAGGGGGGGGGGGAGAAGGGTGAATGGGTACGCTGATGGGGGGTGACAGTGGGTACCGTTGACGTAACAGGAAAAAAGTGGGTGGTAAGATGGGGTAGGCTTGACAGACGGAATGAAAGAGAAAGTGTTTGGGAGTGATTGAATGTGGGAAAAGACACGGGTGTTGATGGTGAAAAGTGGGGTTGCTTTTTAATGAGGGTGTGGGTTGGGTGCCAGATAATTGGGCTTGGGTGACCCAAGTGTGGGGGCGTACATACCGGGTATAAGGTCCATTTCTGACACTTGACATTTTGAATTGAAACATTATGGACTTGCCTTGAATGCTTTTCAGGTATGTACATTTTTTATAGAGACCATATTACTGGGCGTAAAAAATCAAATAGTGTACAGTATGTACACTGCATGTACCAACTGGGTACTGTATTTTGGGTACCAGTGGGTTTCAACACAACAGAAGAATACAAAAAATGGGTTTCAGTGGGTTCAAGTGGACATACATTTGTACATGTACTTATGGCATATTTTGGGTGTCACTAGAGTTCCACTGCATAAAATTGGGTGCAAGTGGACACACTGGGCATATATTTTGGGTTTCAGTGGGTACCAGTGGCATGTAAAATATGGCTGCCAGTGGGTGCAAGTGGGTATACCGAGAACTGTTTTGGGTGTCAGTAGGTAACACTATGATAGGAGCATATAAAAAGTGGGTACCACTGGGTACGCGCGCCGTGATCACTCACCTGTACTCGGTCAGCAGCAACTGTGCTACACGGTGTTGTAATGTTGTCCAAACAGCGCTCATGAGTCACAAAGTTACAAACTGTGAACAGAAAAAAATATACAGATCGTCTTAAAAGTTGACTGATAAATAAAATTGTAGGAGAGATATTTTTCAAAATTATTCCAGAATTCAGGAAGTTTAAGCTGCTTTGACTGACTTGTATGTACAATGTAGGTAAACGGGAAGTCAGTCAACAGGCCAAGGCTCTGTAAAATTGCGATGGCCTAGCAGTAAACACTGTTGAAGTACATTGTAGCTGCTGTAGTTTCTGAGTAACTTAAGTGAAAACTAAAAGTAAAACTATAATTATCAAATTTTATCCGAACTGAAGCACCTCAATAAAGTGCTAAGAGACAATGGGTACAGACCTAAGAATCACAGCCTCGCACCGGATTCGAGCATGTCTCAGACCCTGAACACACCCGATATGCCGGTTGCAGTCCTTCCGTATATTGGCCATGCATCACACAAGATCCAGCGAATCCTCCGTGAAGCCAATATTAAGGTCTACTACCGAACTCGCAATAAACTCGAAACGAAATTGTACACCCACAAAGACAAGCACAACCCGAGAAGTCAAGCAGGAGTTTACCGAATTCCTTGCTCATGTGGCAAAGTGTACATTGGCGAGACTGGCAGAGACCTCACTACCAGGCTTAAAGAACACATAGCTCACGGCCGCAGAGGGGAACTTGACAAATCGGCAATTGTCAAACACTCTGCTGATCTGGATCATGTTGTTGATTGGGAACAAGCGGAAATCATAGCCCAAGAGAAACACTGGTACACCCGTCGTATCAGAGAAGCTATTGAGATCCACAAACATGACACTGTCCCACAAGATATCGGCTACTTCATAAGCCACATATGGCATTCAGTTATTCCAAGTTGCAACACCCGTGGCTCACAGCCAACTGACACACCTGAGCGAGCAGGACGCTCAGCGGGCATCCCTCAACACAATGCCCAAGGCTCACAGCCAACTGACACAGTCGAGCGAGCAGGACGCTCAGCGGGCATCCCTCAACACAATGCCCATGGCTCACAACCAACTGACACACCCGAGCGAGCAGGGCATGCCCAGCAAGCACTCCTAATCCTAACAAACCCTACTTGAGGAGTAGCATCTCCAACTATCTTCAGTCTCCTGACGATGACTAGAGCAGGCTAGTCGAAACGTTGAGACCAAAGACAAGTTCTTTTAGAACGACAAGTTCTTTTAGAAAGACAAGTTCTTTTAGAACTTACAGCAGGACTGTTCTAAACAGAACAAAAACTACTTAGCAAGTTGATAATAAGCAGGACAAGTTCTTCTCAGAACTAATATCTTCTAAGCAGTAGTTATTACCACATGGTGTTACCGCAAAACCGAAACGATACCGATACCCCACCATGCAAAGCCTCAAATCTTATATCAAATTTTAGTTACCGTTTCTTTTCTTTACATTTTATTTGGTTATCTTCATACGAGTACATGAACATACATTGTACTTTTGTTTTCTGTTTGGTTTCGTTCAATTCATAATTATGTTGTGTATTATTGATTTCAAATGTTAGTTTCACACTGTTAACCCTAACCATGCAACAGAATATGGTAAAAAGTTGTTGCATTTTACATGTACATGTAGGTACTTGGTACAAAGGTTGGCTGGTTTGTATAACCATAGTTCATTGCATTCAGTTGCATTTGGCAGGGTGCCTAGAGAATACCCCTGGGGGGGGGGGGGGGGGGGGGTAGGGATAATACTGGTACGTTCATGTTTAATACAAATTTCAGTGTAATTTACATGTATGTTTATTTCTAATTAACCTGTAACAAACATAAAACAGTGATGTCTCAGAAATGGGGAATTCAAGCTTTATGTTAGGTCCCTTACAGATCATTTAAGAAAGAGCTCACCAATTAAGCTGAAAATGCATTTTTCAAAAATAAATACAGTTTACATGTACACGTACATGTATGCACGACATGTACATGTACCTGTATCCATCATCTACAAATGTAGTAAAGGTCAAGGATATTACAGACTAGGAGTTTTTTATATTTTCTCTGAATCATTAATTAGACATCATGGTTTATTGGTTCTGTCACAGACAATTCTGATTTCTTACAAAGTAACCTTAATCAGTTTCTACAAATGTACATGTAGGCCTATATACAATTTGAAATGTACACTGTATTTCCTGACGTCCGTTACAACCAAGCCCTCTAAAAAAAGGTCTAGCGATGAAATATTCCGACAAAGACCGGCCATGACGGAATCATTTCACATTTAATGACCCAGTGGCATTATCAGGTATCCGTGCAGTCTCTCCACGGTGTCATGTCAATGCAGATGCTAATAGTATTTAACTGACTGTGGCGAACCCGCGCGCGCTGCACAAACATACGTGACGTGGTGTACGTCAGAATCAGGTGGAATTGGCCGGAGGTTTTTCAGGAGGAACTAAAAAAAGAGAACAAGGTTTTTTTTACTGGAGACTTTCAAGATGTTGGTAATTTCTATCAAATACCTTTTTAAAACCATGTACATTGTATAGTGCTATACATTGTCCATCGTACACAATGTACATGTAATACATTGTCATACAAAAAATGTAATACATACACGTGTACATTGTACATGTTCAGTGAACATGGTGTAATGTAAATTTATTTTATACTCAATGCATACCATTTTCTGTACATTACCATTAATTGTACCAATGTACAATTTACATACATGTATGTTGTATGCAGCATGTACATGTACACTGTCATACATGTACAAGTTCATATTCATGTACATGTACCAGTACAATGTACATGTTTACACATGTACAATGTACATCATCATGTACAGTACCTGAGGTATTTTAACAAAGAATTCTGCCGGTAAGTTGACAAAGTACAATTCACTGTATGAAAACAATGTACGTAATTTTAACAATTTATAATTTTAACAATTTAACAAAGAATTGTGGCTATACAAAGTACGTTGACTAGATCATGTAATAATGCATTAAAGGGAATATACATCATTTGCTTTTGCTGTAATTTTCAGAAATGGATGGAATTGGGGGGTTGGAAATATAAAGCAAATATAGTTACACTGACTTTTTGGAGGTTTTGGGTTCGAAAATGCTATAAAAACCAAGAAAAACGATCATTTTCCTGTAGTCTGGTTCCCTGACTCCATATAAGAAGAAACAGAGCAGTTTACATACATTGGGGAAATGTAAGGTCAGGGAACCAGTCTAGCTGGCTTGTACCCATTCATATGTTTGTAATCAATTGCAAACAAGTGCAATGGTCAATTGGGGCCAGTATTTGAAAAAAAAAGCCAGTTGTTTCCAACGCTGATCGGCCGATCAGCGTTGGAAATTGATACAAAAATACCACTTTTCTTGAAAATGACAGTATACCAGGTGCCATAATTTTACAGGATGCTTTAGACTGTCATTTATCAACATCCTATTAAGGTATTTCGCAAAAACTTGGTAGTTTTATTTTTCGATGTTTGCAAATGTTGTATATTCCCTTTAACCATGTTAACTTCATCAACAGGGTTTGACCTTAACTTTTTTTTTTCACTGGCCAGCCGGGCTACTAAAACAGCCTCTTAACTACATGTAGCCCGCGGGCATTTTCACTAGCCCGCATGTTTTTCATTTGTAGAGTGTCTCATAAACAACAGTTATGTGCATACCTATGTAAAACGTGTATCCCGAGGCAATCTTGTCAGTGTTTTTAATAAACAGATCTTATACATGTAACTTAACCCCAGTAAACGGTTAATAAAATTAGACACAAATTGATACAGGTTTGCTTTCTGAATTCAACGATTTATTTCTTCCTGTCCTTTGCCGCATCCCAATAATTTTTGACTCGCCAGCCGGGCTACTTACATGTAAGGAATAGTTTGACTAAGCCATCTGCTGTTTTGACTAGCATTTGGCTAGCTGGCTACCGCTAAAGTCAAACCCTGCTCAACATGGTAAACATGTACATGTATGTATACACACAGATAATTTTTAAAGGGAATGTACTGTACATCATTGGCTTTTACTGTAGTTTTCAGAAATGAACCATTTGAGGGGTTAGTATAATAGATCAAATATTGTTACACTGACATGTTTGAAGTTTTGTGTTCAAAAATGCTGGAAAAACCAAGAAAAACAAAAATATTCGAGTAGTCTGGTTCCCTGACTCCACCAAAGATGAAATGGATCAATTTATAGATGCCGGAAAATTGTAAGGTAAGGGAACCAGTCTAGCTGGCCTGCACCCGTTCATGAACATGTAACCAATAGCAACCAAAATTTGGACTGAAAAAAAAATGGCAAACTGTTTGGAGCAGTAGTTGAAAAATAGTTAGGTTTTTCCAACAGGCCGACCACTGTTTGAAATTTATACAAAATACCACTTTTCTTGAAAATGACTTCACACCAGGTGCCATAATTTTACAGGATGCTTTAGACTGTCATTTATCAACATCCTAGTAAGGTATTTCGTAAAAATGTGTTAGTTTTGTTTTTCGATGTTTGCAAATGTTGTATATTCCCTTTAATTGTACATTTGTAATTTATGTATTTATGCAATTTACATAGAAAAACTGAAGCCAGGAAAGTACACATAAAAATTGTTTATAAAAACAATGTGCAGTTTAAATGTCAAGTCATTATTAATGGGGCGCGGTGTGATTCACTTTCCATCCAATAATTAATAACGCTGTGCGAGAGACCTTGCACGGACAGACCATAATCTGAATTAGAATAAAAAGAAAAAAGGAAACCATCTCGCGAGCCTCTTAGCGGCCGGCGAATCCGCCATACGGCAGGTGCCAAAACCATTCGGGGCCGGCCTTGACATTTCGCGCTTTGCTTGAGCTGCACTTGCATTAAATATTGATTGTTTCAAAACATTGTCCCCCGCTCCCATCCCGCGGCGGCTCAATATTGTGGTCTGTAAAGTGAATTAGAATTGAGACGAAACTGGATTTCGCAGCTATGGATGTCTTGCTTTGTGTTCCGGTGATGGACAATCCATGTTGCACATC